TTGTTGGAAGATATTGTATAGGTGATCTGTTTCCTTTTTCTGGAGTTCTGGGATGGTGCAGTGCATTTATGCTCATCTAAATAATGTTCTTACACAGTTCCTCTTGTGGAAGATTGGGCTGCTATTTTGGTAATGGAAGACTTGGTTAGTGGGTTGTTTTTTGATAGACTTGTGTTTCTAATTTGCTGTCATTTCCTCTGCTGATGAGGATATCCAGGAAGGATAGCGTGTTGTTGTTTTCTTCTTCCTTGTGAATTTCATTCCTTTGAAGATGTTGTGGATTCATGTGTCTTCTCTAGTTGTTCCTTTTTTTATTATGAAGAAGGCGTCATCTACATACCAGATCCATTCTTTTGGTTGTATGTGTGGGAGCACTATAGTTTCTGGATGCTGCATTATGGTCTCTGCTATAAGTCCTGAGAGTGGTGATCCCATGGGTGTTCCTCTGATTTGTTGGTACATTTGTCCATCAAACTGAAAAGTAGGTAGTGAGGCAGAGGTTGATGAGGTCCATGATTCTGGGTATTTCGATCCTAGTGTATCTGGCTAGGTCAGGTGTGTTGTGTAGTACTGCTTCCATGGATTCTTTCACTATGGATGTGAAGTACTGCTTCACTATGTTGTGTAGTACTGCTGCCATGGATTCTGGGACTATGGATGTGAAAAGTGCTGTAACATTGAATGAAACCATAATTTCATCTTCATCTACTTTTAGGTCTTTGATTTTCTGTAGGCACTGTAGTGGGGAGTTGACAGAATATTTGTTCATGCCTCCTCTCATACAAATAGTCTGACAACTTGATGTTCAAGAAAAAAATAACATGCCCAAGCAGCACAAAATTCTAATCCAGCATTCTGTTCTTAAAACCAGCCAGATGCCCTGCGGAAAGCCAAATGATGGACACCACAAACCCATTCCCATTCTCCAGAAACTGGTATTTAAAAGCATACAGTATTGTATTTCCTTCTGGAGCTAATGTAACCATCAGGACTGGTAACTAGTGTTAGACAAATTCATAGAAAGCAAGACTGATTCTTATGAGAGTTGTATTTCCTGTCCTCTCTCCTAAATCTTCCAACATAGTTTTATTTAACTGGATGATTGCAAGCACTATTCTTTTAATGAATGAGTTCGTCCATTTTTCTGCATAACATAACTTTATGGTCCTCCGTCATGCCCTTGCTTACTCAGCCTTTTTTCTAAGCTAGAAATCCAAATGTTGTAATCTTTCTTCATGAGGAGGTTCCTTTGAAGAATTACTTCACTCATTTTTTTCCAGTTTCATAGTACAGTGTTTGAAGTACAGTCACAAGATCTATACCCAATATTTAAGCATAGTCAGACATACACTGGAGTAACAGCATTATAATTTTGCTTTCCTAACAATCCCCAACTCAGAATTCTTTTATAGCCTAGATTTATGTTCTGATCGAGCTATCTACCACAAATCCACAACCCCTTTCCTAATCTCAGGTCAGACTCCTTTGGAGTCCTTGGGGTTCTCTGAGCTTGGTTCCTTCCTTGCAAACGTTTCATTACCTGGCTAGGTAACATTGTCAGTGCCAGAATGGAATGGGGTTTGCTCTCTGTATATATACTGTGGCATGCCCTGCCAGTGTTGGTAGGGGTGTGGTTTTTGTTTTATTTTTTCCCTCTGATAGTTCCTTGATTAGGGTATTGTTTACTGCTTGATTGTCTGGTGGTAATCTTGGTGGTAATCTCTGCTTATCTGGGTGATGATTGGTGGTGAGGCGATGTTCTGGTCTTTTGTTTTCCTTTCTATTGTCTCTCTTGAAG